GCTAAATGATGGTGATGTACCTGATGACTTAACCACTGCTTGCATGCTTTGCTAGGCCCCATAATTCAGATATTTGTGTTTTAACTTTTACAACCTTCTGGGCTGCAATAATAATTTTATAGTTTGCTGTGGAACTGCACCAAATCTATAAAATCTGTAAAAGTCCTCAAAATTCCACATATGTGGATTGTCACTGGCCCTAATAATTGCTCTCCACCTCTTGCACTAAATTCTTCAACAAAGAAAAAACAAATACACTGCGTGCTAGAGAGAAACGAATGAAAAGTACCTACCAGGAGACTGCTGAGTGGACACTCAGCACCTTCTATTATTCCGCATTTGAGTCTTTTGTAGACAGCTCTGCCTTTCAGTTCCCCAGTCAACACATTAAATAGACATCCTTTTCAAAAATTCTCGTCTATATATCTTATGGATCTAAATACCAAAACTGTTTCACCAGGAGGGCCAGAATCTTACCAGCGTTTGCTGTGATTGACAAAATCACATCACTCAATTGACCCAGGGGTGTGCAAAGCTAGGTGAACACTGGGAACAGCAGGGCCCTGCCTGTGCAGACAGGACCCTAAAACTTACACAGCTGTTAACTTTTCCCAAAAAGCAATCTACTCAGGAGATTAGTAGCTATTTTTCTTTCCTTTTTCTTCTCTTCTTTTCTTATTGACATTTGAAACATATGTCCCTCTACCCCACTATTGCCACCACTACCCCTCCCCATTAATGAATCAGTTCATTGCATGAATCGAGGGAGAGACATCTTGTCGCCGGTTTCTTCTCTACCCAGATGTGATTTGCCAGAACACAGAGCTCAGGAAGTTGGCTTCACTATAAAGGTTATTTTGTGGACGCTATTCTGCAATGTACGTGAGGAATGAAGTGTGTGTGTGTGTGTGTGTGTGTGTTTTAATGAGGCAAATTAAGGATCCCAGTGGTTCACAGACTTCTCCAATAGCAAAGTATTGTTCTATAGGACACAAAAGGGTTGATTTAAGAAACCCTTCAGAACACCAGTATTGTTTTTATTTGCTCTATAGAATGAATTGTCAAGGAAATACAGACTCTGTTCTCCACAAAGTTGTATATGTGAACACCCATGAATACAAGCTTGTGTGCTGTGGCAATAGTTATTAAAAGCAAGCAAAACAGGGATCAAATTTACACAACTCCAAGCTTCTCCCTCAGAAAATGGTTCCAAAAGCAATAAAATATAATTATCTCCCATAAAATCAATTTCAAAAGGTTAGTGATAGACACCAAAACATGCTAGCTTCCTTTAACTCCTTACGAAATGATTCTCGCCATAAGATATCAACATAAATACTTCCATAACCTTTGACCTTTCAAATTTAGCTAGTTCCCTTGATTACCTTGTGAGAAAAATTCTTAACAGTGGAATTTCTTTTAAGTTTCAAAGCACACGAATTGAATGTGCAGACGAATACAAAAGAATTTATGCTTGCTATGAATCCATTCCTATAACCTTTCAGGTTCCAATTCAAGTTGGTGACATAGGAGGACCCTGGGCTCACCTCCTCCCTCAGACACACTGAATCTGCAGCTACATATGGAAAACCTTCCTCTGAAAAAACCTAGAAACTCACTGAGCAACTCCTATGCAAACAAGAGAAGGCCCGCATAGAAGTGGGTAGGAGAGAGAGGTTGGCACACAATCTCTCCATAAACCTCACCCTTGGCCCGGTGACCCACAGTCGAGAGGGAACTCAAAACCTGGAACTACTCCCTGAGGAGCCAAGGGTTTGAACCCCACATTGGGCACAACTTTTAAGACCCGCACCTGAGAGTGCAGCCCCCAAAACATCCACCTTTGAAAACCAACAGAGCTCATGTCCACGAGACCTACAAGCAAGAGCGAACTGAGAAACGACTCTTAAAGGGCTCATGCTTGGACTCACCTACCCCAGTGCCCAGCACACAGGCAACTGATTGAGAGGTGCCCAGACTTTTTGCAATCGAGACTCATTTGTTAATTTTTTTTTTTTGTAAGGAAGATTGGCCCTGAGCTAACATCTGCTGCCAATCCTCCTCTTTTTGCTTGAGGAAGATTGTCCCTCACCTAACATCTCTGCCAATATTCCTCTATTTTTTGTACGTGGGACACCCCCACAGCATGGCTTAATGAGTGGTGTGTAGGTCTGCGCCCGGGATCCAAACCTGTCGACCCAGGGTCCCCGAAGTGGAGCATGCAAACTTAACCACTATGCCACTGGGCCGGCCTCTCATTTATTAATCTTAAAGCATCAGCCTGAAGGGAAGGCATCTAATTTAGCACACATCTAGGGGCCTGCTGACTGGCAGGCACCATCTTTCTTTATATTTTTCTTCTTTTTCCTGCAAGTGCCATCTATACACTCTTCCTTGGTCTCCTTCCAGCTGGCAGGTGCCACCTTTGTGCTCTAGCCAAGGATGCCATCTTCTTCTTCTTTTTTTTTTTTTTCCATTTTCTTTTTCTTTTGCCAAGCAGGCACTATATGTGCTCTCCCTCTGCCTTATTCCAGCCAGTGGTGCCACGTTCGCTCTCCCTCTGCCATGCTCCAGAGCTCAGTATTTCCTGGAGGGGAACTTACATGGTCCGGTGCCCCCATTTTTGCAGCTGCCACCTGGGAATGCTCCTTGATCACCTGGCTCTGGAGGCCAGGGAGACTTGTGTTCTGTGATCCCATGGGATTGTAATGTTACCAAACCCAAACACAGGTTCTTTTACCTGCCACACAGTAGGGCCAACAAAGAAAAAAAACTGAAACACCAGGCTTGTGGCAAGGAAAGAGGTTTACTATTGAAAGGCAGCCAGACAAGGAGATGGGAGTCAGAACTCCGATCCACCTCTTCCAAGGGAAAAAGGTAGAGGTTTTTATCTGGCGTTTTAGGTAGGGGAGGGAGAGCATGCTTTGGGGTTTTAGATAGGGCAGGGGGAGCATGTGGCCTTGCTGGTTGGCACCTTCCCACCAGCCTGTTTTTGGCCTTGAAGACTGAATTTCTTTTTCCTTGACTATCTAGACTTTTCTGGTTAGTTTTCATCTTCAGTCTGCAATTGGCCTTGTGAGGCTGAATCTTGAAGTCTGGACCTTGACTTCCTGGGAAAGACAGCTCACTCATGTACTAAGGAGGGACAGAAAGACCTGGTTAGTTTTGAACAACAGTTGATTATGCTGAATATGCACAGCTGCAGTTAGCAAAGCTTATCTCAAAGTTTTTGTTCTCTTCTTCTAGCCCAGGGCAGATTTTTTTAACCTCTTCATCCTTGGTTTCAGTAACAATTGGAGAGACTGTTCTTGGCAGACCACCACTCCCAGGGCACTGCACAGACAGCAGACTGAAACACACCCCCAGTCTTTCTGTGAAAGAGGCCTCTTTACTTATCCTGGAGCTTTACCCTGAGGGGCAGGCTTCAGGTTTGGCACACACCTGGAGGCCTATATGCATGCTCTCAGGGAACATAGGCTGGTGGACACCATCTGTGCCTCTCTCTCTGCCTTAATACAGCTCACTGGTATTTCCTAGAAAGGAGCATATACACTCGTCTGGAGCCCTGATTTTTGTGACAGCCACCCAGGGGACACCTCTAGATTGCCTAGCTCAAGTGGCCAGCAGGGTTTACAACTGTGGTCCCACAGGACTGTATATATTTGAATACTTTAAAAGCTGTTGCCTGAGGGTCTGGCTTCCAATCAGCCTGAATGTAGGTGCTGTGTCAGATCCTTCCCTTCAGGACACTGAGAGGTCTCAGCACACCCTCAACTACTGGGAGATATTAAAAATATAATAGGCTGCTTGGGCAATCACAAAGGTTTGAGAGACAACCAAGAGCTAGGGCAGAGTTGAATGAAAAAGTTCATCTCCTACATGAGGCCAACCCTTCAAGACTGCGGAAGGTGGCTGTTTCATCTAATGCATAGAAACCGACACAGAGAGTCAAGCAAAACGAAGAAACAAAGGAACATGTTCCAAAGGAAAGAACAAGATAAAACCTCAGAGAAAAAAACCTTAATAAAACAGAGATAAGTCCTGTTAAAGAGTCAAAGAGCCTGATAAAGAATTCAAAGCAATGGTCATAAAGATGTTCACCAAACTTGGGAGAAGAAAGAATGAACACAGAGAACTTCAACAAAAAGATAGAAAACATAAGCAAGTACCAAGTAAGAGGCACAGAGCTGAAGAATACAATCACTGCTCTGAAAAATAAATCCATTCCTGCTCAGAATCCCGGAAAGTTGGGGCCACGTAATGGAAAGCCCAGTGGTCTGGAGGTCAGTAGACCCAGTTCTTCAGGCTGGTCATCAATGGCTTCTGAGGTCACGGGCTATTCTGAACATGCCTCTTTGTTTGTCAACTGGGTGTTAAACCTGGTATTATCTTAGGTTCCTCACAGAAGTAACATTCTTTGCTGTGAACTTGCTACCAAATAGTTCCTAGGACTCTGTCTGTAGTTCATCCAGCGAATAGAAAAGTAAGCTAAAGACCCACAAACGGAGCAGTCAACCGGACAGAAGACCATGCTTTCCTTTGCTGACTGTCTCCACAGTCCTCCCTTCCTTCCTTCCATGTGTCAGGATGGTTGGAAGAATTAGAGGCACTTGTACAGAAAATATATTTTTGGTCTACTTCTCTTCTCCTTCAACAAACAAAAACTTCTAAGCTGTCTTTTATCATGTCCAGTATTCAGAAATTTATGTTCCAATGTCGAGGCGCTGTGTAAGGAAGCATAACCCATTGAATCTAATGACAGCCCACACCTGTTACACTGACCTTCCAGCTCATTCTCCTCAGGTACAGGCCATTAACTTGACAGCATAATTTATTTGCCTATGAGAGTATCTCAGGCATCCCAAATCACGGACACGAAGTATGCTGCAAAGAGCACAGTGGCCCTGAGCTCCCAAGACATCCTGGAAACATAATGGATAGGCTGGTCTGTTATGATTGTGGTAAATAAAGGGCTTGGCTTGCTCAGGCAGGGCAGGCAGGAGCTGTACCTGCCAGCTGGCATAATAGGATTTATCACAGACTGTCCCAAAGGGAGAAGTTTGATGTCATCTTGCCTTGTTCTAAATCTCAGTTGTTAAGTTTCTCCAAAGAGTCCCAGGAGACTTTTAGCCTGTGGGAAAAAGACACGAAGTGAATTCTTTTCCAGAAGTCTAACCTTAAGCACAACTATGCATACGTGTTTAGCCCAAGAGAAGAGTTCCTTGAGAATAGTCAGGCACCAGGGCAGGCGTGGCTTCAGAAGATAACTGACTTCACTGCTATTTCCACTTGGGCAGCCAGTCCTGCCATTTCTATCCATTAGGGGGAAGCACATCTGATCTTCTATAAAAAAGGTTGGATTACACTACAGGGATGGTTAGTCATTTCCCCAAGGGCTGTGAGATGGTGCCCCAGGGGCACCTAAACTCCAAGATCCATCTTCAAGCTTCACGCTCCTGCTTTTTCACAGGGTTGTCAGTCCTCAAAAATCACCAACTCCGATGTCCCACCCCAAACAGGAAACTGCCTGACCAAAAGTAATACGATCATGATTTTTTATCCATAATTGCAGTTCATTGTCACATTATTATTATTTAAATTGTTTGATAATACAGCCTTGTTTGGACTTACAACTCTCAGAGGTATTCATTCAGGTTAATAAATTCTAGCTTTAATTCAGCTCAAATTAAAATATCTGTTTAAAGTTGGGATGAAATAAGTTGTATTAGTTCTTGGGGCTGACATGAATAATCAAATTTTCATCTTATCCTACATCTTCAGACGTCACCAGGTCATGAAACACTTTAAAACAACAACCTTTTACTGGAACTAAAGGCACAAATATATTTTGGTGGAATTACATATGATTTTTATTTTAGTCTTCATGCTTTTCTGTATTTTCTAATTTTCTAGAGTGTTAAAAGTTTTTAAATTTGTAACAACCTTTTGAAAGTATATACACTTAATAATATGAAACATTTGTAGTTATGTGGAATATTCTAAAAAAGATGAAAGCCCCAGAGGACACTGTGTTTCTACTCTATATGTCAAAAGCACTCACAAGGCGCCCAGCACACAGCAAGTACCCTGAGATCTCCTCAGGCAGCAGTTAAATAAGGAACTTTAGTTCATTAATTACAACAGAAAAAACTGAATTATAGACTAATTGATGGTGCCTGAGATGCCCACGTGCCCTTGGACACCCCTGGGAAAAGACCATCCTTGACTCCCTTCATTTTGAACAGTCCACATTTTGCTCCAAAGACTTTCTGCTTTACCCTTAGAGACGGCGTGGTATGGAATCGCACTAAAAAAGTCTTAGCTTCCCCACCAGTTTTCCTTTCTTTTTCTTCTTAATAAATTGAAGTTTGCCTTCAACATAATTGTGCAACAAATTTAAACACTTTTAAAAAACTGTGATACAAAAAGAGTTGCTGCTTTTGTTCCTTAGGACAAATAATGAGTCTGACTAATATTTTCATTGAATTGGCAATTGGCTTGACTGGTTTCCAAATTGACTTTTTTTGTTCTTTGGCATCACAAAGAAACAACCTTAATCTAAAAGCCGTTAGCAACTAAATGTAAGATTATTGATTTCGCTGCACAGGAAACCCAAAACTTGACATCCTGATGGAAAAGCTTCATACACGTTTCTAAGAATAGGTAACATTTAGCGAGCATTTAGTATGTGTGAAGTGGTATTCTAAGTACTTTACATGTATTAACTCATTTAATCCCCACAACACCCCTAGAAGAAGGCAATATTATTGTCCCCATTTTAAAGAGGAAGAAACTGAGACACAGAGCAATTAAATAATAGTTAATAAGTAAAGAAGCAAAGAGTTGATCTGAGGTAGTCTTGGTCTGGGATCTGCACTCAACAACTGAGCTAAAACTGCGTCATCTCCCTGCGATGGTGGTCTGGTTTATCAGTCTTGTTGGGCTATCTAATGTAGTGATCAAGACCATGGGCTTTGGTGTCATAAAGACACAGGTGTGCATGCCCAGTCTGCCACTTACTAGCTGAGTATCCTCAGACAAGTTATTTTATTAAGTAAATCTCTTTGCCTCAGTTCTCTTAATCTAGTAACTAATTCATGTGATTGTCATAAGGGTTAAATTAGATAACGTTTGCAAAGTGTTTCCCCAGTGTAACCACATATTAAGGCTCCACATATTAAGATGTAACCACTTATAAATGGTACTTATTAGGATTATATCTACTTTGTAACATAAATTTCATCCTCAAAGATAATTATATGCATTTAGAATGGTTACAGTCAAATGAGAAATTTACAAAAAGGAGGGCGGATTCCCTTGTTTCAGAACTGAAGAAGAGTCAAAAGCCAAGATTTAGCTGTAGCTGGCAAGTTTTGCAGATCTCAAGTGAGTAGCACTTTCATCTAGTTTTTCTTTTATTTCAGAGCATAGGAAATACCCTTATTGGAGTGTTTTTAAACTCTTTGCTGCCAAAAGGCAGAAAAACAAACAATGCACTGCTTGTAATCCTTGCTTTAAGAGATCTGTGAACAAAATGAAGAAACAAAGAGCTAGCAAGAACGACTGTGCTGGACCAGTTCAATACTACACTGTTTTTGGAGTGGGGAAAAAAAAAAGTAATTTCTTCCATGAAAACAGCCAATGCATATTATTCTAGTGAAAGTACTTAAACACACAGAATAGAGACAGAACATAAAAAACAGCAAATTGCTTTAAGAAAAGAATGAGCTCCTATGGGAAAAAAATGCTCTAGTTTCATTTTATACCAGGAGAGGCCAGAGCTTAATGCTGAGAGGGAATGTCTAGCACAGGGTCTAGGAAGTAATAGATAAGGAAATCACTTATCATTTACTAGATGAGCAATAGAACACCTAAAGAAATTTCTACATGGCAACCAAAACTTTCTTGCAGGAAAGACAACTATTTGCCTTGATTCACTCTTGAACATGCATATCATCCAACTACAGTCACAAAAAGAGGAGGTTTGTTTATAGAAAACTATTGCCAACATTTTTAACTATTTGCTATATCAATATATATTTAAAAGCTTAAAATTTCATGGACAAAAAGTGATTTTGCCTTTCGGAATTAGTAAACTTTGCAACTCTTTGCTGAATAATTCTTAAGACTGCTGAGTCTGTGCAGCAGACATGATGATTACAAAGTACATTAGATAGTTTTTGTTCCCTAACAAACCATTCTAAACCTGGTGGCTGTGATGGTTAATTTCATGTGTCAACTTGGCTAGGCCAGGGACACAGATATAAGGTCAACACCTGTCTAACTGTAGCCTTGAAGATACTTTTTAGATGAGATTAAGATTAACATTAAATCAGTAGACACTGAGTAAAGCAGACTACTCTTCAGAAAGTGAGTGGGCATCATCCAATCAGTTGAAGGCCTCAAGAGAAAAGAGACTGAGGGCTGAGGAAGAGGGAATTCTGCCTCCAGACTACCTTCGGACCATGAGCTGCAACATCAACTCTTCCCCAGGTCTCTAGCCTGCCAATCTGCTCTGCAGTTTTCAAACTTGCAGCCCCACAATCACATAAGCCAATTCCTTAAAATACATCTCTCTCTCTCTCATATACATGTCTTATATATGCCTTAAATACATGTATATACACATTTATATACACATATTACATATACATATATACAAATACACACACATATATGAATATAAATATGGGCATCCTATTGGTTCTGTTTCTCTGAAGAACCCTAATACAATGGCTTATTTAGCAACCTGTATTTAGCCCACAATTTGTGGGTTAATGATTTGAGCTGCCTCCATCAGGGTTGCTCACCTGGGCTCCTCTGATCATCTGGGCCAGACATAGCTGATCTGGGCTGATCACTCATACATCTACAGTCAGCAACTTGGTTGGCTGGGGCTGGCTGGTCTAGTATGACTCATTCCCGTTCCACATGGCTTCTCATCTTCCAGCAGCCTCAATGGGGCTTATTCACTTGGTGGCTGGGCAGGTTTCCAAGAGAATGAACAGAAGCATGCCAAGCTTCTGAAGGCCTAGGCTCAGAATTTGTACAAGATCACTTCTGCTGTCTTCTGTTGTCCAAAGCAAGTACAAGGTCAAACCAGATCCAAGGGGGAGCAAAATATTCTCTACCTCTTGATGACAAGAATTGAAAAAATATTGTGGCAATCTGCAGTCTACCACATAGCTGAACTGAAGCTCACAGAGTGTTAGTGGGTGGGAGCCTATTGCTGCAGTAGTTTGGGATACATATTACAAAAAGTGAATAAGATGTTATGCTTGACCTAAAAGAGCTTATAGGAAGCGGGGCTAAGGGAGGGATAAGAATATCAGTAATTATGGAAAACAATGACACATGCAATAATTGAAACTATGAAAGCCCTAAAATGAGAAATTTAAATCAGGTCGAGTGGACAAGGCTTCCTGGAAGAGGTAACACTTGAATGATTATAGCTAGAAACATCCACTATAAACTAAAATGTATGCCTAGAAAAATACTAAATTTTCATTTAGGTAATTAAAATGGAGAACATATTATTAGTAATTTTAGGTAGTGATTAATAGTATGGGTCTTTGCGTTGAAAAGAACTGAGTTGGACACTCGGCTTTGCTACTTAACTAGCTATGTGAACTTTGGGTATAATATTTCACCCCATTACTACTTAATCTCTTATTGTAAGATGGAAACAAAAATAGTACCTATCTATTAAGGTTGTTGTGTGTATTAAGTGAAGTGTAAGTTTAACAACAGTGTCTAGAACATAGTAAACACTCAATAAATTATGCATTATTGCTACATTTTTTCTTTTAAATATTCATTGTTGTGTATTTTGGATTTTAAACTTAGAGACCATTTTCAAAAACTCTTTTTAGTGTTAGAGTTACAAAAGATACATCAAATGCTTGAATCACTGTTTCTCTTAAGCTTTAAAAAAGCCCTTCTTGGGACAAGAGGTCATCTATGGCTGCTCTCCAAGGCAGCAGTGTTCAACGTGGGATCCACTGCCCAGGGAGGTCCCCAAAACCCTTTCAGGGATAAGCAACGTCAAAACTATTTTCATAATATTCCAAGACATATTTGCCTTTTTCATTGTGTTGACATTTACGCTGATGGTGTAATAGTAATGGCAGGTAAACTGCTTGGTAACAGCACAAATCGAGGCAGAGGCAGCAAACTCTACTAGTAGTCTTTGTATTCTTCACCTCCAAGCACTCGTAATAGGAAAACATGTCCGTTAGACTTAGGGATCTCCTTAAAGAAGGAACACACATTACCAATTTTATCAAATTCAATCCTCGGATACAGGGGATTTTAATACTTTGTGTGTTGAAATGAGAAGTATGCATAAAGCACTTCTGCTGCATATTGAATTAAGATAGCTGCCTTGAAGAAAATCACTTGTGTGATTGTTTGAGATGTGAGCTGAACTAACCAGTTTTTCCAAGGAAATATCAGTCTGTAGTTGAGAGAATGACGGATAAACTAAGGTTGTTCAGACTAGGTGTTTGGCAGACATCTTCACAGAAATTGAAGGAAGTGAGTCTGTCACTTCAAGGAAAGTGTTTAACTTCCCGATACTTCAAGACTTTTCTAAGGAGATTGGTAATGATAGAAATGGATGTGACTTTGGAGTATTATATTTTAAAATGGGTCAATATTTGGAAGATCTGCATAAGTCATGAATCAATATTTTCAAAATGACCAGTGCATAATGTTACAAAATCATGCATGTATAACAGATCCATTCATAGTTCAAGATAGAACAGTGGACTTGAATGTAACTGTATGAAAAATTTATTGATATGGTTTCAGATTCCACATTGCAACTACCTTTTAAGAAACTACCACTAGTCAAGTTTTGGTGAATTATCAAAGAAGAATGTCCACAATTATGTGAAAAGGTTATTTAAACACTCCTCCTTTTTCTAACTTCATGTTTATAAGAGGCTGAATTTTCTCCTACACATCAACCAAAACCATTTATCACAACAGACTGAATACAGAAATAGATATGAGATCCAACTGCCATCTATTAATCAGACATTAAAAAGTTTTGCAAAAATGTAAAAGTTTCATTTTTCTCACTAATTTTTTTGGTTTTTGGAAAATATAGTTATTTTCATAATAATGCATTGTTTATTTAAAATGTACAGGGCTTATCATTTTTAAATGAGTTAATAAATATTTTTTAAATTTCTCAGTTTAATTTCTAATACAGTAAATATAGATAGATATAACCACAAAAGCAAAAGCTCTTAGGTGTCCTCAATAATTTTTAGGTGTGTAAAGGAGTCCTCAGAACAAAAGGTTTGTGAACTACTGCTCCACAAAACATGTCACCATCTTCTGGAAGTAGCTACTACTGTGGATTACAGCTTTAATTGTCAGTCTCCACCTACTAGAATATAAATTCCACAAGGGCAAGGATTTTTCATTTTTGTATCCCAAGCACCTAGAAAATTGCCCAACACATTAAGTGCTCCATGAACTCTTATTTAATATGTTAACTAATTAAGATAGCCACCAAGATTTATGTACAAAGGAGTTCGCTACAACATTGCTTACAATAGCTAAATATTGGAAAAATATAAATGTCCACCAATGAGAGACTGGTTAAGAAAATAATGGCACCACCATACAATAGAATATCATGTAGCCATTAGAAAGTAAGTCATTAAGAATATTTAAGGCTAAGAGAAAACATTCACCATATATTAAAATGTTCAGAAAGGATTAGAAAAGTGTGCAGGCAGTAACATATTAACTTTATTAAGAAATAGTAATAATGCCAAAATGTTAAAAACGATTACCTCTGCCTGTGAGTCATTTTTGTTTTCTTCTCTGTTTTCCATATTTTCTACAAGCATGGAAATAAAATTTTGAACATCCACTTACTCCCCAAACTTCTGAGTATATTTTGTCACACAGCATGGTGTAATAACAATGTTTATAATAATAACATAAAGTCATTTTGTAAATATTACATTGTACTCAGTATCCTCTATTATAAAGAGGGGAAATATGTGTGATGGAAACATGGATTTGATTAGTCTCTATACTTTTCTGTGCTTTTTTTCCTAAATTCAGGAGGCAGGCAATGCACTTTTTAATGCTTTCCATTCAAACAAGTTAAAATTTTAAAAAGTTAAAGTGCTTTAAGGGTAACCTTCGATTACATGAAAAAATCATTTAAATGAAATACTAGTTCCCCTATTGCTGGTTAAATGAAACATTATTGCATATATTACAGGGGAAAAGGTATTTATTTGACCTTTGGCAGTTTCAACAGTGCAATTTAATACTATATTTTCCATACTGCTCAAGCTGATCATATAATTTAAATGGCAGAATTAAGAAAATCTATCCTACATTAGTATCAGTGTATTGTATCAATCAGCATCAACATACTATACACAATACTAAAAGTTTTATGAATATTTTTAATAGTCTTACAACAAGGTTACAAAATGCAGTATAAGAGAAACAGAGGCACAGGGAGTTTGCATGGCTGGTTCAAGCTTACATAAGAGAGCATGCCTACACTGACATACCCAACAAGAGAATTACAGAGATGGGAACTGAGTCAAGGGTTCCTCCGAAACCATTATGGCAGGTTCAGAGCAATTTGACTACACACTGAATTATGTTTTCCTCATCAATACACTCCATTAACTAGACTTTTTTTAACTTGGTGAGAAGCAATCAGATTTAATCCTACCACTTATAGGAATAGAAACAATTTCTTCCTATGGATCTTCTAGTAGTCATTAAGGAAAGTTAGCTTCAGGACTCCCATCTTGACTTCAGCATGGCTCTCATCATGCAGATCTACCTGTGGGGGTTTTCTGGAGCTACAGAGCCCAAATATATGCTCAGAATTCACCAAGAAACTGACCCCATAAATGGTACTAAACACCAATGCATACTCTTGGTTTGATATGGTTGTTATATTCAGATATTGGCTCTTTTATTTCACCAGTCTGTGTGTGCTTAGGATATTATTCTATGAGAAATGGCTTAAACTGAAGAAATACCAGGCTCACAATAAATAATCCAAATAAAGTATGTCATGAAGTTTATATTTGGCTCTGTCTTCTGGGCATTGATTAATAGCCCTTTGGCCCTGTTGATTCATCATCTGAGCATGTTTATTTAAATGTATTCCTTCCTCCTCCTCTCACCTTCAGGAATCATTTTCTTCACAATTTCCATATGGATACTTTTATTCTTTTTAAAGGGGTAATCACAAGGAACTAGTCCTAACTCTTATTTCTGCATGGATGATTATGGATATACTAGATAGGCGCACTGGAAATGAGGGAAAATAGTAGATACAATATTTTTAAATATTTTAAAAAATACATTGATGAGCTGGAAAGAAAGTAAGAAATACTAAGAATTATAAATCTAAGTCAAACCAGAAACTTGGAAAGGTAAGCAGAGCACTAAAGCCAAGTTGTGACCATTGGGCATTTGCCAAACTTAATGAACTTTAGCTACAACTTTTATGGCCTGCTGGGTGGGTGGGAAGAGACAGAGTGACACAGGCCAAGACTAGCCAAAAAGCCCACCCAGCTCTTCAAAGAGTGGGAATCCTGAAGTTCAGAGAAAAGATTAATTAAAATAAAATACAATAATAAGATTAAAAAACAGTGACCCACATTTTCTATTTGGAACACTTTCCATTACAGAAGCCAAAGAGAGAGCAGATATCTGACCCGGAAGATAGGGCAGAGGCTTGGCCAAACAGAGCTTCTGCCCAGGTCTAGTATCTTGAGAAAGTGATGCAAAGCTCTGAGGATGGCAGAGATTCGGCAAAGCCGTTGTGACAGTGGAGACAAGAGTACAGCAGCATCAGGACAGCACCCTCCATCAGCAGCAGTGCGAATGGCTGTGTTCTCAGCTGCCTAGTTTCACTTGATTCCTGCGTATTTTCTGAGTATGGTTCTCCAGACTTGTGACTGATTCTTGTAAATATACTTCCAATGAATATTACTTCTAATAAATTTCTACTTAAATTAGCCAGAATTGATTTCTGATGTTTGCACCTGAGAACCTCATTGATATAATCTTCCCCCAAACTCAGAAATCTTCAATGCCTAAGCCAGGGAATTCTATCTGGGGGAGAGGTCACCCAGGAAAGCCTAAATCTAAATAAAAGATGGTAATCTGAAAGCAAGTTTTCTCACAATCACAGTTGCTGTAGCTCAGGGATCTGTCCAGGGTCCTGACCTCCATTATCACTCTATGACCTCGAAACCTTTGGTTGTGCTCCTAAACTGTCTGCTTTATATCTTCCTAAACTCTCATCCACGGGACTATGACTCATGACCATTCCAATAACCCGTCTTGAATCTTCATGGTCCAGTCACACCCTGACCAATTCACATCAAGAATAATTATGATGCTCATTTTCCAAATCATAAAACTGAAATTAGTTTAGTAGCTTGACAGAGTTATCAGTGAGGAGCAAAAAGCCTGTATCCTAGTCTTTCACAATTAATGTTGCCTCGTGATACTAAAAATTTGTTTCACTTTTTTTTCATAGAGAGATTCTCATTCACTTTTCAATAAATACATATTAAGCACCTGCAAGGATCCCAGGACTTTGCTAGGTGTTCTAGTTGATGTAAAGAAATGGTCTTCCATCAGGTGGGCCTATAATAAGAATATCTCAATTTGAAAGCTGGTTTATCCAATTACTCTGTTTGAATTCAGACAAATTTCTTAATGCTTTTAGCCTTAGTTTCCTTATCTATTGAGGGTGATACTCGTCTGCCCTATCTGTCTAACAGGGTTGTTGTGAAGGGCAAATAATAATTGTTGCCAGTAAAATAATAAAATGTTCTTCCAGGCACTTGGAAACAAAAAAATTAAGATCATTCTCCAAGAGTGTTATATCATTTATATGTGGAATCTAACAAAGCCAGACTCATAAAAAGAGAGAGTAGAATGGTGGTTACCATGGCTAGGGGATGGGGAAATTGGGGAGATGTTGTTTAAAAGGGTACAAACTTGCAACTAGTAGATAAATAAGTCCTGGAGATCTAATGTACAGCACAGTGATTATAGAAAACAATACTGTATTACAAATTTCAGAGTTGCTAAGAGACTAGATCTTAATTGTTCTCACTGCAAAAAAGAAATGATAATTATGTGACGCAATAGAGGTGTTAGCTAATGCTACAGTGGTAATCAAATTGCAATACATAAATGTATCAAACCACCACATTGTACATATTAAACCTACACAATGTTATATGCCAGTCATATCCCAATAGAAACAATTTTTTAAAAAATCACTCTCCAAGAATTAAACTATGAAATCAAGACACAAAGAATCAGAACCAAGCTAGGTGACATCACCTTAAGAAGACAGAACGAATTGCAGCTGAGCAAAAATAAACAATAATCTGATTAATCACATTGAAAGACTTAACCACTGAATGTAGCAATAGTAAAAAGGATTGTGAAAAACATCAAAAGAAAAGTCAGAGATGCAAACACTGGGAACAGTGCCAAACAGCAAACAGAGAACCTTAGCTGAAAGACTTCAGCATCATGGCTGCATTAGCAAGACCATCTGCAAGGCAGAGATGAAAACACCAGACTTAGTAACTTTCTTAGCCTCTTCTTTGCCAAGTGATCACCTAGAAATGTTTAGATTTCTAAGGCAGGTCTGTCTACGGGGTGATGTTCATAGAGCATTCTTGTTGATGTGACAATTGTAGTTAACTTTGGAAAAACTGTGATTTTAAAATTAATCTTGTGATCTTGGCTTCTGACTGAGGATGATTTGTTGACAAAATCTGATTTCTGAGCCTACCAGCCTGCGGACCAAACCCTAAACTCACCAAGGTGATGCTATCCTGGAAAGACTCAGGAAAGGCAGCCAACATTCTGAGTCAGAAACCTCAGTGTCTACTAGTTGCTTACAGGACAACTCTTTCCATAACTTCACCTGACCTTGACTTTTAAGAGTACTTAATATTTGGGTAAGAGGAGAACAATAGCAAGGGCAAAGGTATGTCATGAGCAAATAAATGTAAATGAGAATGAGCTCAGTATATTCGAGAGCCAGAGATTAGCTGAACTGGCTTTTATACAGGGGTCAAAGAGATGGAACTAGAAAGGCAAGCTGAGACAAAATTCTAGAGGCTCTTAAGTGCCATGAGAAGGTGCTTGGAGTTTATCTTGTAGGTAATAAAGGCAACTGAAAGTTTTGGACAAAGAATGTTATGACTTAATGGGCTTGGATAGATTATTAGTCTGGCAATGATGGAAATAACTAAGGGGCAAAAGAACAGTAAAGAAGTTATTCTAAGAATGCAGTTGCAAAGTTATTCAGGACTTAAGTAAGGTTGTTTGGTTTTTCTACCCAGTGCCTCTCCTTTCTTCTGGGAAGAATGCATCCCTTCACATGGAGAATTATTTCTCCTCCTTCTCCAGCCTGTACCTCTGGTAGAAGTTGATTTAAGAGTACTCTATCACTGGCTTCTGCTCACTGATCAAGGACTAGGCATATGATCCCAAACAAGGCAATCAAAGTCCTTCAGTGGAATTTTTCAATCAATTCCCACCTGAAAATGAAGCCAATCATCTAGTCATGTTTGAATTGGGCAGCTTAATCACATGGGAAATTTTTCTCAATGGTATTGCTAAATTCCAATCATCTGCTGTATGAGCTGGTTCTGCTCCATTTGCTGTTTGCTCCTGTCACTCTGTGCATCACTATACGACTCCAATGCAAGGAATCCCAATTATTTCCAATTTTCAACTAGCAGGTCACAACTTGCAACTGCTTCATCCATGCTCATTTGAGACATTATCGTTCAAAATACTCTTTTTCAATTTTAATTAAGTCCGATACAAATTAATATGTCATTCTAAAATCTTTTCAGTGGCTAAATATTCTAATTAGTACACCAAAGGAAAGTGATGAATAAGCCTGTTTTTAACATCCTCAAATTCCTTCCTTTTAATTCTCACATATCCCCACATCCCCAGTCCCAAACATCTGTCTTAATATTTTTTCTACTCTATGAGAGAAAGCTGTTTAGCAAAATTTGTCTCCCCAACCACATTTGGAGAAGTACACCCATAGAGATATTCCCAGGACTTCAATATTCCCAGTGCCAGCATTCCACACAGGAAATTCTTGAACACATGACAAACTATAGTGTGAAGTCTACTCATCACCTAGAGCAGAGGCGCCCAAACATTTTGGCCTCAGAACCCCACTACACTCAAAAATTATTAAGTACCTCAAGGAGGTTTTGTTTATTTGATTTCAACTTATTGATATCTACTATATTAAAAATTAAAACTCATAATTTTTAAAATATGTATTAATTCCATTTATAGCAATAATAAACCCATTACATATTAACATAATCTATTTTATGAAAAATGTCTATTTTCCAAAATAAAAAGAATGTAGTGAGATGCTCCGTTATTTTCACATTTCTTTAATATCTTGCTTAGTAGAAGACGCCTGGATCCTGCTATCTGCTTCCCTGTTTAGTCTGTTATAGTATCGCTCCACTGTATACCTCGAAGAGAATGAGAGTGAAAAAGGCAAATGAAGTTTAGATATTACTGTGAAAATGGTTTTGATTTCTTGG